ATGATTGTGATTTACGTAAAGAACAACCAACAACATTATCCACAATGAAGAAGCTGAAAAGAAATATTTACACTGATGAATCATCAATTGATACAAGAAAAAAAGCAAAAAAAAATGAGAAGATAATGTTTATATTGAAAGACTTTTTTCATATTCTTCTCATATTGCTTTTTTTGATCATTTACCATTAAGAAACTGTTTTTTAATTTTATTTCTTATCAATAGATTTATTTATTGCGTTTCTACATGTTTTAATTATTGAAAAATCACAAGCTTTATTTTTTATTTTTGTTTTCATTGTAACACTTCTCGTTTTTAATTCATTATAAAAATAAAATATAAATTATTAACAGTAGTCGTATAATATTTTTTTAAAGTACAAGATGAAAAAAAACTATATGCTTCGCTTGTGTATATGTTCAAATAACATTTTAGTAATATTCTGGCGATTCATCTTTCTGTAATACAACATTGAATGAGAAATATTCGCATGATAAAATAGACTGAAAGAAATTAAATAATTTTTCTATTCTGAAGATCGTTCGAAAATATTGGATCCTTGGAATCCCGCAATCCTGGAATCTGCCGTTTCCCCCTTGCACTCATGACTGAGAAGGATCAATCGAAAACTGAGAAATTCAAAGACTTCAATCATTTTTAACCTGTTCAAAATCTTCAGAATCATTAACAAAACTAAGCGATCAAAGAATTCTAAATATTTCACCATATATCAATGTCAAAAATCTCAGAATAAGAAGCACTTCATGAACTGTAAAGATTCAGCAGCATATTTAGCTCAGGCAATAAACATCGTATGAGCAATTAAGTGTAATGATTTCTGATAGAAGAAATGCTATTGCTGAAAGAATGTCACTATTTAACTTCTTCATATCATTAGTCGAGCCGTTGACACACAAGGCAAATGTATTTATATGCAGCCAGGAGAGAGAAGAAGATAAAAATACTATATAAAAGGAGGAGAACTGGTAGAGGAAAGCTGTGTAACATGAATACAATACACTCCACTCAGAGCGTCACATCAATTTCTAACTTTCAAAGTCTCGGAAGCATTTTTGAATGTCAATGATCGACTGGAGAGACAGACGTATCTAAGATTTTCAAGGATACAATGCATCCATAAGATGCCAAGCATCATTAAAAAATCGTAGAAATACAATCTTCCAAGTTTTCTAAGTCATTCCGTAGTGTCAATAATCATCATGCAACTGAAAAATCCAAGAATTCCAATAACTTCAAGACATCCAGGACAAAGGTAAAAGTGTAGAATCTTGGTAGCTTAGAGAATCTTTGGGAATCATTCTTGAACATCAAGGTTCATAACATGCTTAATAGTTTCCTCATTCCGAAGCTCTTGTAATCAAATCTTGAAATAGCAAATTGATCTCTTTCAATATAGGTAGAGCGTTGAAAAAGTATTCGGACTGAGTTTATTAAAAAACAACAAGAAGGTCTGTTGAATTAGTATTCTTACCTATACGTAATTCATGCAGTCATGTATCTATACATGCAATAAGCTTTGCTGCATGAAATATATATATGAAAAAACAGAAATAGATTTGACGTTACTCTATATACACTTACAAAAAAGTCCAAAAAACAATTATTATTGTTGAATGATGAAAATTTTGTTCTATGAGGCCATACATCATTTAATTGATATGAACATGTGGAGGCCATTCATATAGATCTATTCTCCAGCAATCACTATAGCTTTTGAAGAAGATCATCATCTTGAAGATAGGTTATGATGCATTTATAATATTTTTGGATAGAAATAACATAACTATTAAAGTTTTTCGACAACTGATGGTTGAATAGAGTCGAGCCACATCTAGGTGAATACTGTATATTGTTCACATTTCAAATGTAACGTGCAAAGTATTTCGAATGATCAATCACATATGACTGAAATCAATCTACTAGAAGGGCACAGTTGCTAACATGATACTGATGACGTTTTGACTATAGTTAGAACAATCATTAATAGCTATTTATTTGCAATTGAAACAACGAAGTCATTTAAATATTGTTGTATATAATAAAGCATTATCTCTGTAAAATACCACCATATATTCATAAATTTTGAATGATAGCTGCTCTTTCAAAGCATGTGACTTTGCTCAAGTTGTACGTTTTATGTGAATATATAAAGAGTAGTCTAAAATGTATTTCTATTTTCTCATATTTATTTTTCATACAGCAGAGCTTATCACATCTATAAATACAGCAATGCATGAACTACGCATAGATAAGAATACGAATATACCAACACTTCTTGTTAACTTTGAATAAAACCAGTCCGGTTACTTTTTGAATAGTCCACATTTACTTTAATAGGCGAAGATCAATCAACATCCAACAGTTTAGAATATAATTGGGAAATATCATAAGAAAAACAAGAAATGTCTGAATTAAAACATTTAAAAAACAATCAGTAGTCGAAGAAGAATTGATGATGATGTCATTCCTACTTGAACATAATGTTGTGGATACAAAAACATTAAAAGGAATCGCTTATATATAGATATCGAGATCATCCATATTGAATAGATATGAAGCACGAATAGATAGGCATATTAAACCCAAAAAAAAAATAAAAAGATGTTATTCTTTGTCTTTTGACTGATAATTTTTATGAACTTGACACTTTTAAACTGGACGATTACGTTTGATATCACTTTGTGTCGATAATAATATTATATTTGTTCGATGTAGTTCGGATGTTGATGGATTTTTAGTGACGTCTAATAAGTGATACTATTAGTATTATTTATTTATCTTTATCGTTGATTATGCTAATTAGTTCTCTCTCTCATTTTAGAACATGTCGATGATCTTATATATAAACATATTCTGACACAGTGAACGCCCTTTGACAATTCTAGAAACTCATTGAGAATGTTGACAAGTTCTAGAGAATCCAGGATTCGTAGATTCTGCGCTTAATTCGTCTATTCAGAACTATACCCCTCTTCCCAAATCATGAACACATACAGAAATGCGAGCAATAGAAAAATTTCAAGGATTCCAACAATCCTGGGCTATTGGGCACACTCATGCAGCATTAGATTGTTTCCTTCTTGGAGAACTTGAACGAGTACAGTTCATTGTTTACTGTTAATGATATGGATGCACGCAGAGTATCGAAAAATTTTAAGAACTACAAGCATTTTCTGTTGTCATAAAACTGAGTCGAGATACTTGAAATACAAGGATTCCAAGAATTTTATTCGATAAGGAAAATTCGTGGATTATTGTAGAGCTCTCTCTTTCACGAAAATTCAAGAATTCCAATGTGTTTTTCAGGATATTCAGTAACTGGAGACAATCAAAGGCATTGGAATGCACTTTCGTTGATGAATTCGAATGATATAAACTCATTTTCTGTTGTTCATGTTATGCATGAGGGGATGAAATCACAGCACTCCAATAATTCGATAAAATCCGCATTGCCACAAACAATGGTTCAATTCATGAGATTCCAGGACTTCAACGATCTCGCAGCATCTAAAATACTTGTAGACCATCGAGATCTTCCCTCCTCGACGAAACGCTAGAAATTCAACGCATTTTTCATTATTCAAAAACATATGAATGCAGTAAAAAGACAAGACGAAAAACCACTATTTGACTAAATCCATACGTTATTCGTATCAGACTTCTCTTTATTCTCATAACCGTACTGCAAATAACAATCTATAGAGTTAACAGAAGAAATTCATAAATATATGTATTACATCAACTAATATGACAATTTGACTCATTCTGTACATTAACCGCCTGCTGGAACTATTTCAAATAGCTACAGGATCCTAATGCTCATGCTAGGAAAGGGAGGTGCCCATAAGCTGCCGGTAGTCAACCTGTCGTGTTCACAGGCTACCCTTCTATCTATGGGACACAAAACTTTTATGGCTAACGAAAAAGATCAAGAACACTGTGTAAATACACACAAATCAGTTCTTTTTGCTCGATGGAACGTTCGAACGTGTTTCCAAAGTGCAAAGAAAGACTTAATCGTAGATCAACTGGAAAATATCATGTACAAATAACCGTACTCAGCGAATGTGAAATGTTCGACTGTGAAATATCATATGTTGGCAATTACACATTCATTCACTCTGGTGCAAATGATAACAATATGGAAAGCAATTAATTCAAGAATCGTTACGATTCGTCTAAAATGTAAGCCTATTAACATCACAATAATTGCAATATATGCTCTGGTGAATCGTATAAATGGTCAAAAAGAAGAAGAGGAATTATCCGATGCTTTCTACGACGGCCTCTAACAAGTCGTAATTGACACCTCAAATAATGATATGCTACTGATCATTGGAAATTTCCATGCAGGAGTTCAAGCAAACAACAACATGATGAATGGACCTGTCGAAACTCATTCAGTGGATAAAATGAACGAAAAGTGAGAACGACTTGCCGATTTCTGTTTTGATAAAAAATCTTATCATCACCAATACATTTTACCAATATAAACCCATACATCAATGTACATGAATGCATCCGGGCAACAAATAATGACATATGTTAGACTATATGATAATCAATTGAAAGTTTAGATCCAACATAATGGGTTGGAAAAAATATTTTTATAGGGGGGTACCGCTATATTCTGAAATAGGGTTAATAATGAATTTTATACCAAATGAAAGCCCGTAAAAAATGGGGTTTACTGGTACTAAACAATAAGGGTTATAGGAACTTTTGTATGTTGAAATGTTTAAACTTAATAAATTCTATTGATCATAAGTGTGAGAAAAGTTATTGATAAGATAAAGTTCGAACTAAATGTAATACAAAATTCTTTATTTTTTCATTGTTTAATGAAAACAATCAATAGTCAGTGTGACGACCATTAGCGTTCTTTACTGCACGTAGTCGAGATGGATACGAACATAGAAGAGTTTCAAATAAATCTGTGTCGGTTTCCATGTTTTTCAAAACATCTGAAATGTGCATTTTGAGTGTTTCTTCCAGATAACGAGAATGTCCAGGTTCTGATAACATCTTTTTTTCAACTTCATCCTTGATTATTGTTCCAATATGTTCTGCCACATTGAGATCAGATGAATTTCCAGGCCAAATATCATTATCCCAAAATTTAATATCATTGTCTTGAAGCAAATGTTGGGTCGGATACGCTCGCATACATGGTGCGTTGTCATGGATAAAAATAACTTCATCGGGATCAATAACATTTTCTTCATTTTTTAAGAATGGGAAGACGTGTTCGGTCAAAATTATATCACGAAAGTATTGACCGGTCCAGGATTCACCTTTGTCTTTAATCACCCAATGTAACCTTTTAGCGGTAAATATCACAAAAATTCCAATGCACGGTTGGTTTTTAACCATTTTACGATAACGTTCGTCTTCTTCGATATCATTGACGCTTTTTGCCCAAATTCGATCGTTCTGATAATTTAGTCGACGAACGACCCACACGTAAAATTCATCAGATGGTGCCAGATGAAGAAAATCTTCTTCAATCCAATCTTTTAACCAATCGCACAGCCATAATCGATCTGATATATGAGTTTCAGATTTTAGCGGTTTTGGAATAACATGAAATGGTTTTAATCCTTCTCTGTGACGGTAATTATTAATTGTTCTTCGAGTGACATATTCTTTTTGCTTTTCTGCAATCTTCTTTGCCACAACGGAGCAACTTTTTCTTTGTCGACCACTCGCCTTACGAATGATGTCTTGACTTGCTTGTGATAATTTAAGCTTTCGACCAGCATTTGAATAATCAGCAAAACATTGGTCACATGGTTTTTGCCACCAGTCTGTGACAAATTGAGCCGTACGATGTACTTTTTCCGCAACCCACTGTCGATTAATAAATGTTGCACCAGCATCTCGAGCTTCACGAAAAGCAATGCATTTAATTCTATCGATAATTCTTTGCTCTTCAGTATCATAAGTACCAGCCATTTTAGAAGAATTAGATCTAATTGATGTATCGAACGGATGGATTTTTTATGAAAGATATGAATTAGAAGATGACCTTATATATAGCTTCATAAACTTCTCGAACTTTCCTGTTCTCTAACTTTCTAAGAGAAGAAAAATAAAAAAATCTTTTTTCTTCACCGTCATCACAAGTAATAGACAACAGAACGCAAAAAGAAAACTGCACCTTCTGAATCATAGTAAAGTCTTATGATCACTAGAACAGTGCTCTTTTCAATTTTTTCCAAAAACTATCTGCTTTTTTCTTCGTCTTAAAACCCTCTAAAAATGAAGTGTAACGATTACATTATGCAGAATTCTTCATACTTCGACAGTTTCAGCATACGAAAGTTTCTATAACCCTTATTGTTTAGTACCAGTAAACCCCATTTTTTACGGGCTTTCATTTGGTATAGAATTCATTATTAACTCTATTTCAGAATATAACGGTACCCCCCTATAAAAGTATTTTTTCCAACCCTGTACATGGCCACAACAAACAAAACATCCATATGCCAATCAAAGATAAAGACGATCATCTATTAACAACATCTACGAAACGACTAAAGCAATGGCGAGAATATTTTTATGAACTCTTCAACGTACCAATGAATGTAGATCCAATACTAATTCAACAAATCACAACACCAGATATTGAGCCAAATGAAAAGGAACGACAAGAAAAAACTTCGACGTTACAAAAAGTTGCCGAAGCTATTAAACAAATGAAAAACCATAGAGCAGCAGGTAAAGAAAATCTAGCAGCAGAAATTCTCAAAGCAGGAGGAATAACAATGGCGAAATGGTTACATGAAATAATTTGTGATATATAGACAAAAGAAACAATGGTTGACGACTGGACACTTGCAATATTGACTTGATTGTACAAGAGCAAGAGTGATAAACAAACATGTGATAATTATCGTAGTATATCATTACTAATGGTAACCAGCAATATATTCTCTCGAATCATACTGAACCGAATTCAACCACTCCTCGAACAATAAGCTGGATTTCGACCATAGAGATCGACTATAGACCAGATCTTTACATTAAAAATGTTCATGCAAAAATCACGTGAATACAACAAACTACTATACATATGTTTCATCGACTTATGCAAAGTATATGATTCGATCAATCATCAACTTCTATGGAAAATTAGTCGACATTATGGACTGACCGTAAAAGTTACTAAAATGTTGCAGTTTCTGTATAACAATACAAGAGCTCAGGTATGTATTGGAAGTGAAGAATTTATGGTTTTCAAAATAGAAACAGGTGTCAAACAAGAAGAAATGGAATCACCCATTCTATTCAACATCGTACTGGACTTTATATTAAGAAAAGTCCTTGAAGAAACAAAAGCAAATGAAGTCAAGATGGCATTTGATCATGACTTTCCACCCCTCCACTGGTGGTCAACACAAATTAATAAGTGTTCTAGACATGGCTTATGCAGATGATCTCGCTATCATGAACGAATTCACAACAGAATTTGAAGAGTTCATTCAGGTTTTTGAAACTGTAACTCAAAAATTTGGCTTAACAATGAACGTAAAGAAGGCATTCATTATGTACCTGACACTATGGATGCAACGGTGATGATCAATAACCGGTTTACCGTCATCAATTCAACGGTTCGAAACGGTGACCGATCGGACCAATCGACCGGCGAAATAGTAACCGATCTAACGATGAAAGACGGTAAACACCTTCAAACATACGGTGTAGACCGGTATATTAGTTAATTCATATGCTTTCAGAACAACCGTGACTAATGGTGCCAATAACCAGTCTTAACCGTAGATTTAAAGGTGTTTACCGGCTTTTACCGCTAGACCAGTTACCGTTTCACCCTTTGATCGGTTCGACCGGTTACCGTTTCACCGATTGATTAGTCCAACCGGTTATCGTTTCATCATTTGATCGGTCCGACCGGTTATCGGTACTGTTGCATCCCTACCTGAAACAATCACAACAAGATTCAACTGGTCATATTATCAAGGGATAAATAGTCAATGAGCCTGATTTCAACAGTAACATCCAGAATGAGAAGATTGAAAATACTAAATCCTTCATATACTTTGGTTGCTGTATAACAGCAGACCAAACGATGGAGAAGGAAATTGGAATACGCATATCGAAGGCATCAGCAGCCTTCAACGCGCTCAAATATTGTGTAAACCCCCCCTCATAATAAAAGACCCCCGGGTCTTCTATTATGAATTTCATATCATACTCCAAAAGGGGTCTTCTATTACGGGAGGTCTGCTAATATGAATTTCTGTGCACAAACGACCAGAAAGATAATATATTCTCTCTCCATGAACAGAAACCCTTACTGTCTTCTTTTATTTTATGATTCTGTTGTCGACAAGACATCATTTTGCAGAAATAATATTTATACAAATAATTCTAAGAAAATTTCGATGAAGAATGTATTATAAGACCCGGGTCTTTTATTATGAATTTCACATAATATTCCAAAAGGAGTCTTCTATTATGGGAGGGTCTTGTAATATATGTGGGTCTTCTATTATGAGGGGGGTTTATGGCAGCACAAGAATATATCGTATGAAGCGAAACTACGAATCTTTCGAGCATGTGTAGTACTTATATTGTTATATGGAAGTGAAGTCTGAGCTTTAACTAATATTCAAGAGCAACGATTAAATTCCTATTACTTGAAAGATCTTCAAACAATCATTGAAGCGAATCTAGAAGATCGACTATCAAATACGAAAATATTAAAATTCACTGGACAACTACAATTAGATATTATCATGAGAAAAAACAGGCTGAGATGGTTTAGCCATGTAAACAGGATGAATAAAGATAAAAAGGAACCAATGCTACCGAAAAGACTTATATTCTCTTCTTTTCCAGGTGTCCGTCGACCTCAACACCATGGCATTAGAAAAATATATCAAGACAAAATAAAAGCTGACATCGAACAAACCGATAATACCAACTGGACACGAGATACTATGGATAGAAACAAATGGCGTCAGATCATCAACCGATTCGCACACGTTTATATGCCAAGCTTCAGTATTAAACAAACAGTTCACGATGACAGACAGTGTGCACTACGAAGGCATGCTAAAGAAGCAACCCACACGACCGTAACAATTGAACCAAATCCAACTTCAACGATGGCACCACTAACAACAAAAAATCGAATGAATATCCCAATTGCAGTCATATTTCTATATTTTTGACCTTCATTCTACACTGGCAACGGTACGGGAATTCCTTCCTGTCTTCCTGTACATTAAGACATACAATCTTTAATTAAGCATTCACAAATACAAATCAAAGTATTGTTATTATTGTTGATAAAGCCGATGATCACACTTACCTTGATAGTGATAAACCAGCGGGAAAACTAATCATTATAAAGATCATATCTCATGATGATTATTGAAATGGCAAAATTTTAAACCCACACCCACAACCTTCTTTCAAGGCGATTCTTTCGAAAAACACATATACATCATTCATAAAGATGCATTGACCACGATGATTCAAAACTTTTTGAAGTTTTCCAAAGCTTAAAACCAACAGAATAAGACATAGTATAAAGATGTACAGAACGCGATAAACCTTTTCCACAAACTTTCAACTTTCACGTGATCTAATTTCAAGTAAACCTTCTCAAATCAGAATATGGAACGTTATCATCAAAATTTTGCCAATAAAACAATCTTTCCACTCTACAACTATTCCTAACGACTAATCTGCAACTGCTTAAGAGGAATCGTTAAAACAGTCATCGTCGAGTCATGAAATCCAAGTCTTCTATTCTTTGAAAACAAACTCGACGCAACATACACTTAATTTTGCCCAAGAAAATACACAACTCGATGCCCTAGAAACCTCCGCACCGTCGATTCTGTCATCAACCCCGACAGGACACAGATGAGGTTTTCATCTATCTAACTTTCCAAAAGTTCATGCTGCTAGAACTTTCCAAATCATCATCATCCTATAGAACCGACAATGATATTCCTTATTCCCTAGATAAGCCATTGATATCTCTCCTCTAGTTCTGACTACTTAGAACCTCTGTAAGCCATTTTCCCGAACATATGAAACTCGATACTTCCAACTTCGAGATCTTGTTCAATACTTGTAACCAGCTGGAATACACTATGCACCTCATCATTCTCAACACCAGACACAGTTGACTGTGTTGCAAAAGTTGGAAGCATTCATTGTCTTCAAAAGTCCGATAGGCTTTATACGACTGTTTTTCGGAGATATCGCTTTGCGATGACTATCACTTCGGGATGTCATGAAACTCTTGAATTCTGAGAAAATACACAATGTGTTTCAATAATCTCCAGACCAGATATTGCTTCATGCCTTGAAATATATGAAATCCTTGCTAGACTCGGAATTCACCCGCATCTCTCTCGAGACTTCTCAAAGTATCAATTTAAAAGGTTTCGCACTTCATGGTCGTTTATAATCCTTGGCATACCACATAATTCCCTCTCCTCTTCACTACTCTGCAGAGATAGAACTCGTTCCATGTACATCAACCCACGAAACTATTGATTTGGTCCTAGAGCAAGGGGGAAAAAGCTGAATTTTTAATTTACGAGATTGACTTGATTGACAGTGATTATCCACTTTCTTCTATATCAAGAAAAAATCAGTCGGAGTTCTTTTTCGACCAATATAATATTTTTACGGCTGAACAACAGGAAAATACTGTGACTCTACATGTAAATTTTGATACAAAACTTGAATATACAAATGACAAAAAACGAAATAAACTGTTGTCATATTTTTAGTGAGAAAAATAAAAGCAGATTAAACCTCTGGTGTCCGATAAAATTACCTTCCAATAGTTTATTTAACATCTCGAAAAGACAAGATGAGATTCGAATATGAAGAACTCAAATGGAAATATATTTTTAGTTGTTAGTCATAACATGTTTTAAACGATCTAATGACAAAGTAGACTTGTCACTTGAAAGAAGACAAGCAGCTGTCTGTTTATGTAAATATTTTTTTGTACCATTAATGTTGACGATAAAGTGCCACTTAGCCAACGTTAGATTAATAGAGTCAAAAACTCGCATTCCTTGAAAAGTAGTCGAACTAACATTGCAACGATGATCAGATAGATAATCTTCATCATCGCTGCCATCGATTGAATCTTCATTGTCGGCATAATTTTCGGTAGTATCCACTCCTTCACAGCTGCTGTCATCTGAATCTGAGTTGAAGTCTGGATCGTGTTCGTTAAGATGTGAATAATCGACTATTTTTTATTTTTGAAGTTGAATACTAGTCAATTTTGTCATTTTTTCCAATGATGAAATTTGATGTGGTTGATACATGTTCAAGTCACACACAAGATGGCTAGCATAAGAATACGCTTGTAAAATAGTATTCTCAATCGTTTCAACTGTGAGATCTATAGTAGAAGATGATGATAAAGAAGATATTTGTTTGGAATCGATGGTCTTAGACTGTTTGTGATGGCGTGGAAATAAAAAGTCCTTATTTGTATCATTGCTGTTGTTGCTACTTGTTTGACATTTAATAAAATTTAGATATGATAATTTTTTCGCTCGCTGCAAAAACTGATCTACACTGAAGTTTACAATTGAAGAGAATGATTTTGACATGGCTCGGCATGATCGAAATGTACTTTCACAAGTTTGTGAGTTGAACAGAGATACGTTTAAACATGCCGTTGATAATTTGTGTTGAAGAACGAGCAAGGCGAGGTAGACGAGTGTATGACTATTAATCTCGATAGAAAAGACTAATGGTAAAGTAACAAAGTATTGCTGCTTTGTATTTTTCTTTC